ATAATTCTTAATATTGCAATTTCACTTATATCAGTTTAGTAAATATGAGCCTAGACAGTTATTTTCAAGAATCTGTGAGTACTATTTTTGTTACACTTACTTTGTAAGGCCTTCTTTGGGCTTGGGGATACAGGATCTGACAGTGGGAGAACAAGTGTATCACAAATATGAGAGACAATCAGTACCTTTACATGACGTTAGAAAAAAAAAATCAAACTACTGTTAGGCTGACTATAACCAGACTTAAAATACATGTAGACTGAAATCCTACTAAATCGACTTTCTCAAATTCGGAATAACACACCTAGATAATGCAATTGGGAGTCAACTTCAAAGACTTCAAGGAGAATGAAGGGAAAAGAATCTTTCCTCACCACCGTACTTGCTGTTGATGTAGAAGTCAGCGTTTTCAGCAGTTGTTGCTGCAACTCTATGTTTAGAGCTCGTAGTGTTTCATTTTCAGCCTCAACTACTGCTCTAACCTTCTCCTGCTCCTCCAACCTAAAACAGAAGGAAATACATCATGACTGACATTATAAGAAACAATTACAAAAAAATTGTAAAAGTTAAATATATTACGTGTAGTTATCCAGCTACTTACAGTGGAGACAGGTAGTAGTGCACCTGCATAGCTTTCCAATATTCATAAATCACTGAAACATCAAATTTGACTGGTATGTGGTATTAAAGTGACCGAAACCAGTAGCATCCACATGCCACGCAATTTTGGCACAGCGTACAAAATATCACACCACAAATTGAAAAGTATTCACACAACTACTTAGGGAATAATGATTCCATGGCTCAATAATACTATACAAGAAAAAATGTTGATTTTTTTTAACAAGCCAGCCAGCCTATTTTCAGTGGAAACCTTTCAATTGTCATAGTATATTATGATGGACCATATTTCCATCTAGGTTTTGCTACGTTGCTAAAATAAGCAGATTACATCCAAAAATGAGACAAACTGCAAACACATGTCTTCATACTTTTTTTGGTAGCGGCATAGTTTCTTCTTCGCCTCCTCATAAAGTTTTTATGGAACAACCCCACCATCATCATCCTCTTCAGAGAACATATCTGAAAGGGTATCTTCTCTGATTTTTTTGTTTGGTGTTGGGCAAGGCTTCATTTTTCTCTCATGTAGTAGAGTCAAGAGATTGGCTTTTTTTGCTTCTTCTGTGGCTTTTTTCTGATATGTCTGGTAACATGGATAAAAGCATAATTAGGAATCAAAGTGTAATACAAGACTCAAATACAAACATTGATAGATCAATACAGTTAACCCTTGTCATTTTGCCTGCACTGTATAGTTCTTGGAACGTCTTTACTTTCATATGGACCATAGCTATTGCACCTATCAGTGACCACTTAAAGAAAGTGGTTAATAAAATGTTAATAAAAAGTGCTGGCTGCATGCAATTGTTATAAATTGAAAGCAGTCATATTTTTTAGTAAAATATAACTGATCTCTACTTTGGAACACAGTCACAAAAGGTACTTAAAATGTGTATGTTAATAAAAAGTGAGAAGAAATAAAGTTACTAGTGTGACAAAGGCAGATACACAAGAAGCATTCAAGTGAATTATCTAATGCAGCATCAAAATTTTAAAACAGCAAATAAGAGCAGATCAGAAAACAAGACGGCCTTGTAGCAAATAAAGGCCCACTAGCATGTGCAATTTTAGTACGTTAAACATCCATCTATTTTCTGTAACTGCTTGTCCTACTCAGGGCCATAGGGGGGTCCAGAGCCTATCCCAGAGGCTAAGGGCACAAGGCAGGGAACAACCCAGGATGGGGCACCAATGGTAAGCCAGAGTACCCAGAGGAAAGCCCACAACAGCACGAGAAAAATACACAAACTCCACACATGGAGCCATGGCAGAGACTCGAACCCTGGCCATAGAGGTGGGAGGCAACAGTGGTAACCACTGCACCACCATTCCACCCTATAATTAAAATACCAGTCACTATTTTTACGTCACACACACGCGCACAGACAATTGTCTTATTTTGCCCATAAGCTATTTAGTTAGTAAGCCCATTCCTCTTTTTCACCAATATACCATCGAACATGGGAAACATACATGTTTTGCCTTGGCCTCCGCTTTCTCGAGGGTGGTGGTGAGGGTGTGGACTCCTTAAGTCTTCTCACACGGACTCGTTTTCCCTTGGACAGTTCGTCATTGTCCGCCGGCCCTCCATTAAAGGAAGGGAACTAAAGGGAAATGGGATGGTTTTGGCACACCAACCCCGTTAAA